CCCCGCCAGCCCCCTCCCAGCCTCCAACCCCAAACACACATGTGCTTCTCTCTGTTCTCACTAAAACTTCCAGTCAGGAGCCATCCGGTGTTAGCTCTCCTCACACCTCCCTGTGAGGCCTTATCAGAGCCTCTGGATCAGTATCTACTCGCTCTTCCACCCCATCCTGTCCCACCAAATCCCAGTACCCTGCTCTGCGCACAGTAGGTATTCAGTTGTGGTAGTAGCTGATGTCTGTGGAGCACCAGAGAAGTGCCTTGCACTGTGCTAATGGCTTTAAATAATTATCCTCGTCAATTCTCCTAACATTCTTACAATGTTAGTATTATCTGCAAGTGAGGAAATGGGGAAACCAAGTCACAGAGAGGTGAAGCAAGTTGCCCTGCTGTGGTGTGGCTGGTAAGGCCGCAAGATGATAGGGCACCAAGGAGTCCAGGGAGCAGGCCCCTGGCCACACCATGCGCCCGTGGGGTGCTGCCCTCATCGGCAGCCAGCAGGACAGCACTCTGGCCTGTATGAGGTGAGGAAAACGGATGTCGATAGGCTATTAGAACCACAAGGGCAGTGCCACTGGTCTCCTACAACAGTAACGATACGTTTAGTTTTTAAATAAAAACACAGGAGCTGATTCAAAGAAAAATAAGGAAAGAGCATAGGGAATAGCGGATATGACAGAAATCACGAAAGCAATGGAAGAGCTGAGTTTCTCTGATCAGAGGAAAAAAATGTGGTCTTCGGGTCAGAGATACGGACCCGATTCCTGTGCCTTGCCCTGACAACTTTGGACAGCTTACTTGCCCTGAGAGGCAGTTTCCTCATCTGTGTAATGGGACTAGTGACTGCATTCAGCATTGTGAGGATCCAGTCCAGCCCTGTGGAGAAAGGTACAAGTTGATACTCCCCTCGTCTTTCCTGTTATCTTGAGGGCAGTAGGGAGCCAGTGAAGGCTTTTGAGTGAGAGAAAATTCCAAGATGATGCTAAAGTTTCCAATTTGGGAGACTGGAGAGGGAAGTAACGATAGGTGGGAAGAGGCACGTGAGGCTGGAGAGATACATGCAGGTGGGGCAGTCGGGGGCCCGCGGTTATTTTTATTCATATGGAGTCTGCCATGCAGGGCGGATTCAAACTGACGAGGTCGGCATGAAGTGCAGGAGAGAGGTTAGGACTTGAGATGTGTACCTGGGAGCCTCCCCACCTAAAAATGGCCACCATTTAGGTTGGCTGAGTTGTGTGGGACGATGATGTCATGGACAGCATGCCGGACCTCACACCAGGGCCTGGGAAAGTGCCTGTTTTAAGGGAGCAAATGAAAAGGAACGGAGAAGGGGGTGAGGGGATGGGTACAAGAACCAGGTCAGAGAGAGCGAAGAGAGAAGATACGTTTTCTATAAAAGCATCCTTTCCCTTTCTTTTACCTTTGGCAACATCTAAACACCATCATAAACGAACCAGAACAGTATGTCGTTTTGTGTAATCAACACGTATAATCATTCAACAAGAAGCAGTGTCTTTGGTGAGAATTGCTGTGTGCATAGTCATTTAATGAGATGCTTTAAGCCATCTGCATCCAGGTGTCACAAGGGTGATTGGGGGAAGGAGACGGATCCCCAGAGCTTTGCCGCACAGCCAGACGCACCCTCTCTTGTCCCCTACAGCTGTCCACTCCTTTGCGGATATCAAATCTGAAGATGAACTGAACCAGCTCTTCCCAGAGGCCATTTTTCCTGAGTGCCCGGAGGGTGCCGACACCTTGGAGGGATCCATGGAACAGCTAAAGAAGGGCCTCGAAAGTGGGACGGTGCTGATCCAGTTCGAGGTAGGAGAACTGAGGGCCCACCCACGACCTGGACCCCGGTGCCTCGGTGCCTCGGTGGGCTGCTCAGGTGCTGCCGAGTCAGCCGAGACCCTGGGGGCCCATGCTCATCGCCAAACACAGGAGGGGCTCCGAGCACCGGGCAGTGGAGTGGGCCCAGAAAGCGGGGGATGGGGCCCACAGCCCATCACCGAACTCTGCCTCACCCTCTTATTCTAGTATGTTTGGTAGTCATGGAGAAACGCGTCAGAAATCGAGGAGGAGGGACTCTGAGCTATTTAGCTGCCAACACAAAGGCTCCAAACACTCAGGAGTAGAAGGTACTGGAGAGGCGGTGTGGGTGGCGCCCAAAGCATGACGGAGGAGCCCGTCCCTGGCCCCGCCGGCATACTGTGGAGCAGTTAGTGTCATCCCATCGAGCACAGGGCCTTGCCCCCCCAAGTGCCCAGAACCATGTGAACATGAGTGGTAACCAAAGTCAGATGCCCCCGTCCTTCGCCAGGAGGGACCACTAATCGCAGGTTGGAACTGTTGACAAAAAGCACACACAGACTTTACAAAGCAAAGTAGGACCAGAGAAGGCTCGGTTTCTAAGCCAGTTTTACTGATCTGCTTGCCAACAGAATGAAAACAGAATGTGTTTATCGTCCAAATGTTTCTCAAGGTAGAAGAAAGCAGAGTAGTTCATGCAATAAAAGATAACAAAGAGCACAAAGAAGCATTAAACAGGGCGATAAAAGAAAATCGATCGTGATTAATGCCAACACACCCAGTTTGGATTCATAAATTAGGAAAGACAGTCTCGGGTTGAATTTGAAAACAGAAATCAGCAATTCCTTGTTTGTTTGTATAAAAAGAGAGTCACAGAAGGAAAACTAGGCAGTTTGTCAAATGCATGTGACTGCACATTGATTCAGGAAAGCAGGAGTATGAATATGGAACAAAAAGGAACGCACGGCATAGGGTCTCGAGTGAGAAGAGGTTTATGGTGCAAGGAACAGGATGTAAACAGAATTCATCATTAGAGCAATGTGTGTTAGAAGCCAGTAGAAAGGAAAAACCCACAGGTGAAAGGTGAATATAATTGACCTCCCCCCCACAACCCCCCAAAAAAATCAATAGGGAATTTTAAACTTAACAGTCATGGCAGATAATATAGACAAAAAATAAGTTTGTATCTTATGGAAATGAGAACAGGATTAAAGGGTAGGAATAATGTAATTACGTGGGTAGAATTGGATAGACATAGACTGAATACAGAGAGAGAAAGTCTTCTTCCCACTGGCCTGCGGGAGGCTGTGTAGGCTTAGGATTTTAACAGAAGAAAATGCAGAGGTTGTGTTTCCTGGCCTTGCATTGCAAAATAGTACATTCTAAACACTAAAACTGCATATTTTTAAACATTCTCCAAAAGCACTGAAACAAGAACTTAAAAGCCAGAGACAGCGTGTATTCCTTTTCTTCCTTTTTGGGTGTTGGAGGAGATGTGAAAGGCACTGTGCAGTCACTCATTCATTCAGGGGGTGTACATTAGGTGTTACCATGTGTCAAATACTGAATCAGGAGCACACAAAGGAGGGAGAAGGTGGGTTTCTGGCCCCAAGAAGTTTACGGTCTAATTTTGGTATATTTGCATGGATGTCTCATGAATCCCAGAAACAGCTAAAGACCGATATAGGGCAAGATGTCATTGCACAGAATGTGTGTTCTGTAGAAACGGGAGGCGAGAGGGTTACCGGAAGTCCTCTGGAGTGAGATGTTGTATTAATAGAGGACGAATGGGATTGAATGTGGAGGGGGGTAGAATATCCCAGGAAGGTCCCGAGCTAAATGCAGGCTAAGCTCATAGGGTGTCAGGTAGCAAAGGGAAACAGGGATACCTGGGCGGAGAACTGCAGCAAGGAGTCCTTGGACATGTCTCCAGGTGATGGAGGGCCTTCAGCCCAGAGGGAACCATTTGTCTTTTATCACACTGTCCACAGGGGGGCGCTGTGAGCTCTCATTGAGGAAGAAGACCAAGCTTGGTCTTAACCTGTGCTCCGGAGGGAGAATCCACTCCACTCAGGGGGACCTGCCTTCATGTTTCATGTAGGGGAATCCCACATAAGGTTTTTCTTGACCAACGTTCACTGAACATCATTAACAGTTTAAAAATGCTTTGGAGAGCAGTACCCCCCCGTCCCCCGTGTTTCTGAGTAGTGTTTCTTAAAGGATGACATGCTGAGCATCTGTGTGGATATTTCCCAAAGAGCTTGTTACACTGGGCCCAGACACAGCTCCTGGGTCAGCCATGCTAGGACGGGCGTAGGTGTTGATACTCTTAACCAGATCACCCGGAGGTTCTGATGTCCATGCGGATCCAGAGGATGATGGGGGAAAGGGGTGGGATACAGATTGTACCAGAACCATTGCCCCACTGCTGCCCATCCCAAGTCTTGCCTTTAGAGCGTGTAGTTAGACTAGAGCATAAGAAATGGACAACATAGAAATTTTAGGCTTTAAATTTTGCTTTCACATTTCCATTTCCTTCATTTAGTTTATGTATTTCCTAGAAATGAAGTAGGGAAACCCCCTCTTTTTAAATAACATTTGCAGAATTCCAGAATGCAAAACAGATAACAGCAGAGCAGCTCTGTGATGCAGCTGGTGGGGTACATGGAGCCCTGCCTCCGTCTCCCCACTTTGTCCCAAGGAACCCTAGCCTGTGAAACATAATTTAATGACCACTGTTACAGATGGGGAAAAGAGATCCTGCACAGCTGCTAGAGAAGAATTCTAAAGGAAGCCAGATCAAACCAGAAACTAAGACAAAGGGAAACCTTTGATGAGCACTTACTATGTGCTGAGGGCATTATGTGCACGGTCACACAGAATTCTCATCTATACAATTCCCATTGTATAGATGAAGGACCAGAGTCTGGGGGAGGTTATCCCACAGCCGAATGGAACCCAGGCAGGCTAGTTCAAGAGCTTGCTCTCTTATCAACTATCTAATCTTTGCGAACAACAGAAGGTATTTACATGTGAGAGTTATTATTAGATTAGTACAAATTAGAGCTAGAAAAGATCTGAGAAGCTATCTAGCCACATGGAGCCAAGCAGACTTTAAATCCTGGCTCTTCCTACCACTCACTTCCTACGTAACCTCAGCATGTCCCTTAATCTCTGTGGCCTCTACTTCCCCAATTGGGTGTCTCATAGGTTAGTTGTAAGGGTCAGATGAGATAAATAGTTAATGTGTTGTCTGGCACATGGTAAGAGTGCAATAAAGAGTAACAACTATCATTATTTATAAACTAGAAGCTGGATGCATGAAATTCGTGCACTTGAGGGGTCCCTCAGCCTGGCTTGTACCCTCACGCAGTCTGGGAGCCCTCGGGGGATGTCTCACTGATGGTTGAGACCTGCTGCGGGGAGCGGGCCTAAGCCATCAGTCGGACATCCTTAGCCCTGTGAAGGCAGGAGAGGCTCCCGCCACCGCTGCTACACTCACCAGCTGTGAGCCCAGCTTCTGGCTGAGTGGAGCTTTCCCTGTGGGAGCTTACTGAGCATCAGGGGGCAGCTCCTGCATTGAACATCTGCTCCCTGGTGGTCAGTGTACATCATAACAACCAGTTGTTCTGCAGTTCAGTCAATTTGCATATGATCCTTTTATTATATAGGGTAGAGGCTCCAAGAGTCTAAAGAACATGCCTGATGTTCACACAAAAAGCGTTCATGTCAACTTAGAGTTGGACCCCAGGGCTCTCTGACTCTGTAGTCCTGGCAGTTCTGGCTCTCCATATGCTCATCCAGTGCTGTCAGCAGGTGGGTGACGTGGCCTACGGGGGCTGTGCCCTGGACCAGGGCAGGAAGCTATGGCTGGTACCTAGCAGGTGCCCACCCCACCCACTCCACCACACAGAGGGCCTGTCTTGGGGTAGATGGGCCATGGCTGAATCCCTCCCATGGTGATGAGCTGGTTTCAGCACAGCTCCCTTTGAAGTATATCTCCATGAAGGGAATTTCCCTGTGCTTCCCGTGGCTTTCGATAAACAATTACAAATGTGTTCCAGAAAGCATTTGGTCCCAGCTGTAACAAAATTGAACTGAATAATTAGCCTTTCTATAGCACATTGGAATCTGCCAAAGGTGTTTTACATAGTTTGTCTCCATTGACTGTACAACAGTTCTGTGAAATAGATATGGCTAGAATGATTTGGGTCTCACCTTTATAGATGGAGAAAATGAGGCTCAGGGGCGAAAGGACTTGCCCAGTGTCACACTGAGAGAGATCTAGGGTTAGAATCTGTTAAAAGTCTAATCCGTTGTCAAAACTCACCATCGCCAGGTGGGACCCAGCCCTTCACCCAACTCCAACTTGAGCCCTCCCCTTGTAAATAATTCAAGGAATTCAGAAATAGCCACAGTAAAATTACTAGTCTCCTAACCCCCATCCCCTTTAGCTTCTTTCTCTTTGTTATAATTTACAAATAATTTGGTGGGTATCCTTCCATATTTGTTCCAATGCTCATGCAAATATAATTTTTACACTCATGATGTACATAAGTACACACACACACACACACACACACATACTATATGCCGCTATGGGGTCACTATTGTACATATTATTCTGTAACTTGCATTTTTCACTTAAAAATAGACAAATGGAGATCCTTCCAAATGTGTGCTTTTAGTCTAATTTTTTTTATTGCCTGTAATTTTGTGGTATGACTGTACCATGCATTTCTGTCAGCCCAGGGTGTGCACATGTAAAATATTTTTAAACACTGTTATAGTACTTTATTTTTTATTTTTAGTATTCTGTAATCTCAAAAGATCGTTATACTGCTGAGATACTTATATACTTACTATAATTAAAACCTTTTGCTAGATCTTTGCTTTTCTGCTAGACCATCTCAAGTTGATTACATTTACATTTTTGTTATTTGAAAAGAAATTGTTTTTACCTGCAGGTTAAGTTTACTGATTATATTTGCTTAATTAGATTTCACTTCCGTGCAGTTTAGAGGAATCTGATTCAGATATTCTCCTTTCAGAATCAAACTAAAACCACCGGTAAACCATGAATTTATTTCCAGAATGAGCTCCATTACAGTGTGTAGATACTTAAGAAGTTGTCCAATGGCTACTTGATTATTATGAACTAAAATTATAAAGGCGATCAGTAGCTGAGTGCGGGGAGAGATTGAAATTCTAAACATTTAGTAAATGTATGAGATATGACACAATTGTCGTTATCCCAAACCTCTACGCTAATTCTCTCCTGGTGATTTCTGCACTTGTTTGTTTAATTTTTTTTTAAAAAAAAAAGCTGACAAGAGAAAAACCAGCAAATAAAATTTGCAAAATCATAAGGGGCGAAATAACATTCGGCCTCCCTATTCAAATTGCAGACACATTCTAGCTGATGATACGAGCCACAATTTGTTGAACGAAGCATTCTTATGTACCCCTGAGGGCAGGCAGCATGGTTATATGTATCAAAGTCCTTCAAAATATGCTTTGATGCAATAATTCTGTCCCTGGAAATTTATAAGAGGAAAAAATTAAAAACAGCCTAGTTAAAAAGTAGAGTAAAAGTTGAAATAAATTATGAGAAACTATAGATTATTGAGACAGTAAAAATCATGTGTATAGAGAATACTTAGAATATTTAACAACACAGAAAACTAGACACTGTGTAATAAGTAGGGGGGAAAATGGCTTCAAAATTATGGTTGTATTCCAGGAACGCTTCTTGTGAGATGTGAGATTTTCCATGGCCAAATTAGCTTGAGAAATGCTTAGCTAATCATAATTAAACAAGCTTACGCACTACAGGGCTTGTCTTCTTGGAGAGTCATAGAACAGAAGATGGCTTGTAGTATCCCCAAATTTATTTGACCCTGAAACTTTTTCTAAGGGTGCCGATTTGCTTCTTCCAAAACACTTGGTCCCATAGAACACAGTATGGAACATGATAGCATATACAATTCAATCTCCATTTCTTGTTTTACGAAACATATGTGTTATGTATTTGCATATATGCTTATGTGTATTTGTGTACACATGCACAGAAAAATCTAAACTGGAGAACATATATGAAAAGGGTTGTCTCTGGGTTGTCAAATTACTGGTAATTTTCTCTTTTATACAAGTCTGAATATCCCGAATTTCCTGCAAAAGAAAAAAAGAAAAAGATCCAACATTGAAAAATGTGTTTTTAAAATTCCCATAAAGTTAATAAAAACCATTGGTGAATAATGCTTCACTTTCAGGTTCAAAATGGGAGAAACAGTTGTGTAGAAAAGAAAGCCTAAGGGGGCAGGAGGAAACTTCTGGAAGCGAGGGATGTTCCATGGCCTTGATGATGACAGGTCACTCTTGCATATTTATCCCCACACTCGCAGCGTTGTATAGAGTAAATATGGACCACCTTTTACATGTCAACCAGACCTCAATAAAGTGGTTTCGAGGAAAAAAGAAAACTCAAGCACTGAAGTCAGATCTGAGTTCAGTGTGTGGTCCATGATCTAAGCATTTAATCTCTGCCTCTTCCACTTGCAAAGGAAGGATGCTATTAATACCTCTCACAGAGCTGTCGTCAAAATCACATCAGGTGCTGTGCAAAGGTGTCTGATGGGTGCTTGTAGATACGCAAAGACTGTTTCAACTGATATTGTTGCTGGTGATTACATGCACAGGGGAATACCTCTTCATATGAAGTTTACTATGTGTGGGAATAAATGTTTTGGCTTCCTTGAGGAAGTAAGTGTTTTTACTATGGAAATAGACTTGTGGAATGATGAATGAAATGTTCTTGTTTTTTAAGCAAAACATACGGTTTACTCCACTGAATTGGAGGGAAGTGTTTTTAGACTAATGTAAATGATTTTCATTTCATTTTAAGTCGGAATTTTTTTTTCTCTCAGAATTTATTTTCTCTACCTGCTTTTGGCATTTGTCAAATGATTGTCATAAAGGTTTTACTTGCTGTGATCATTATCTGTGACTCAGACAGATATGACTTTTTCTCCCCCCCAAAGATCCTCGTTCATGATTTTTAAAAATTGAAGAATACTTCTTATGGGATCATAGAATTTCTTGTTGGGAACGTTTTTCTTTTAAGATGTAACACACAACCACTTTTAAGTGGTAAGATTTTGGCACCGTGAACGATAAACTTTTACTGTTCAAGTATGTTTTCACACTCCTTTGATAGCTGGGTTTTTTTTTTTACAATGGCTTTTTACTTCTCTGTTTGTTATATAGCAACTCTACAGAAAGAAACCTGGGTTGGCCATCACCTTTGCAAAGCTGCCTCAAAATTTGGACAAAAACCGATACAAAGACGTGTTGCCTTGTAAGTTTCTGGCATGAACGCCTCCTCCCCCCACACACTGAGATAATGTTTCCCTTCCTAAAACAGATTGTCTGGTATTCTGGACCGACTTTCAATGTGTGTGTAAACACCACCGTCTTTATTGCTGCCATCTCAGACTGGGAACAGTTGGGGAATAGTGTTTATGCTAATGCAGCGAGGGCTGCAGATGGGGCTGGGAACTGAACCCTTGTGTACTTGGTAAGATCTAAATAAGGCTGGGAATCATCGGTAAATGCCTTTTCTTCCCCCCACAGATGACACCAGCCGGGTATTACTGCAGGGAAATGAAGATTATATTAATGCGAGTCACGTGAACGTAAGTTAGAAACTGGGTAATAAGAAAGAGCACATTAATGGCTGGAAGGAGCTTGATCATGGCTCCGGGCTGCTTTGCATTTGAGGAAGTGTTTTCCTGTTCACTTCCTGATTTCAGCACAACAGCCCGGAGGGAAGGTAGAATAGCCTCATTTTACAGAGGAGGAAACTAAGGTTCAGAGAGATTCGATAATTTGAAAGTCACAAGGCTAACAGAAGGTGAGACCAAAACTTAGATTCTGTGTCTCTGACTCCGGGGTCCACACACCTTCTCTCCTCAGCTGCGGGCAGCTAGGTGTTTTGGGTTTGGGTTAGGGTTTGTTTTGTTGTGGGTTTTATTTTTATTTTTGCCAGTACTATGTAACTTTCTGTGTTTTCCCCGTTATTACTGTATATACTGTCATCTAAAATAAAAATAAAACCATCAGTGTGCATATAATCCAAAAAGAAAAGGTAAAAGATTTCACATGTTGTGAGAAAAGCAGTCATTTTACTCTGAAAACACATCTTGGGCAACTTAGTTAACCTCTCTGAACCTCCGTTTCTTCATCTAAACCAAGGGTCAGCGCACCTTTTCTATCAAGGGCCAGGGAGTCAATATTTTGGCCTTTGCAAGTCAAGGGGCAAAATTGAGGATATTACTTAGGTACTTACACAACCATTTAAACTGCAGCCATGTAAAAACATAAAAATACCGCTCTCCGCTTGCAAAGCAAAGGTCACATTTGGCCCTCAGCCCATAGTTTGCCAACTTCGGGTGTAAATGAACAGATGACTTCTCAAGTTCAGGTCTCAACTTATAGCAAAACTATCAAGAGCTTTCCTAAAAAAATAAATAAATAAAATGGGTCTGGTCAGTGATTCCATTTATTCCAAAACATCCATGGGATTCATTGATTCATTGACCCTCACTTTAACATTCCTCGTGTCTTAAGAAATGGTGGGGGCAACTTGACTTGGGGTTGTGAACACACAATATGCAGATGGATAATTATAGAATTGTACACCTGAAACCTTCATAATTTTACTAACCAATGTCACCCCAATAAATTCAATTTAAAAACAAAGAAACAGTAGTGGGGCAATAACACCACACAGTCCAATCTCCTTGACTTACTGGGGGGCAAGGGAGATACTAACACCAGGGTTGAGGAAGCCATTAACCCAAGCACCAACAAAACCATGAATTAGGTGCCTCCATTTACCTTCCCATCCAAGAATGCATGAATCACGGTACCACAGCAGAGCTCAGCGGGTTCTGAGTTCTTCTGTAGAAAGAATTCCATTCAGCAGGGCAGAAGTAAAAGCAGGGCAGGCTGGGGGAAGACGCTAGGAGAGCTGAAAACATGTCAGCGTTTAACCAACTCCAGTGGTGACTGCAAGGTGGTGGATGTGGGTGTTCACCAACTTGACTGTGGTAATCATTTCACAATGCATATGGGTATCAAACCATCATGTTGTACAACTTAAATAGATACACTTTTTATTTGTCAATTATACCTCATTAAAGCTGGGGGGCGGAGATTGATCAACTTCGTGACACAAGCATGGGCAGCCGTGCAGGAAGCCCGTGCAACAGTAGATGGTGGTTATAAGCCTGTATAGTTTATGCTTCAAAGAAAAGTAAGTAGATTTTGATAGAAAGCTGTGTGTAAAGAAAAAAAATGAGGATTTTTTAAAGGACTTTAGTTTTATTTATTTTTTACATTCAATATTATTTTGTATTAGTGTCAATGTATAGCACAGTGGTTACGTAATCATATACTTTACAAAGTGTCGTCCCCCCCAATATTTCAATACTCACCTGGCACCATATATAGTTATTACAGTATTATTGACTCTGTTCCCTGTGCTGTACCCTGTATCCCTGTGACTATTCTGTAATGCCAGTCTGTACTTCTCAATCCCTTCACCTTTTTCACCCAACCTCCCTCCCGCCTGGCAGCCATCAATCTAAAAAAAATGAGGATTGATAGGTGTCCCTGAAAATATAGATGCCCGTTATTGATGATATTTATGATACAGCAGTGAAGGTCATTTAAACTCTCCCATCATCTTGTAGGTACATTTCTAATGATCGCCTACCGAGTATCACAGTTGTATCTTAAATATCTAATGCTAGCACCTTTGTCAAATATCTTTCAAGGAATTTTAAAAGTAGCTTTTGGAAAATTTTTCTTACTGGCCATAAGTTGATAGAGACATTATTCTGGTGTGATGTCCGTTATCAACTAGAAGAGTCTAAGATCCAGTTTCCTTGTGGCAGTAACAGATTCTAATGCCTTAACACTCTCTTGCCAGATGGAAATTCCCGCTGCTAACCTTGTGAACAAGTACATTGCTGCTCAGGGACCCCTGCCACATACCTGTGCACAGTTTTGGCAAGTCGTCTGGGATCAGAAGTTATCGCTCATAGTCATGTTGACGACTCTCACAGAGCGAGGGCGGGTAAGTGGCTTGATTTCCGATTCAGGTGTGTGCATGTCACGCTGTGTTCTGTGGAACATGAATCTCAGAGCTGAAAGGGATCTTAAATGTGGCCCAGTCTAGCCCCTACATGACCCATAAAGCTTCTGTGAGGAGCTGCTAATGGACTTCTCTAATGATTGGCAAGCTTAGCCCTCCTGCTGCCCACACCCTGGCCTTCTCCAAGCTAAAGAATGACAGATCAGCCCCTCCCACTCTTGGCTCGGATACATTATTACAAGCCAGAGGCCCTTCCCCTTGCTTCACCTCACCTGCCCAGAACCCCTGCACTGGCCTCACCCACCCAGGACAAGTGCTGGTCCCCAGAAGAGCAGTGTGGGTGCCAGGTTCACAGTGGAGGTAAAATGTAGGGAGAAATGACAACCTCCAACCTCTGCTTGTGTGGCAGCAAAACCCCTTGCAAAAGCAGGTAAGAGGGGCTTAATTCAGAGAGTGATGGACTCCGTACTGTGCTTTCCAGGATGTACGTTTTCCTCAGGAACCGATCTCTGATTATATAGCAGAAATCAGCATGCAAGGGATACTGTGTCGTGAATGCTCATACTTGTGCCTACATCTGGATAGCTTCATTATGAAATGTTTATTCAGAAGCACATTCCAAAATCAAATCTAAATTAATTTTCAGCCACCTGCTTTGAATGGATCTATGCCACTTCCTCCCAGGCCTTTCCTGGCTGCGTAGTTCAGAATGCCAGACTGGTCCACGCTGAGAGCCGGAGCACAGGATTGGGATGGGTCGTATGTTTGAGGAGACCAGTCCACCCTCTCACCTGAAACAGCAAAATAAGGACTCCTACTGACTGATAGCGCCCCATAGATCGCAAATGGCTATTACGTGTGGTGTCCCAGGCAGAGTGCTCCCCACCTCTGCTAAGACCCTCCGGGGTCCATCTGTGGGTGTTCAGCTCTAATATTTTAAAAATCCCTCCTCACAAAGAGCTGAAATCCCTGCTGCTTTGAACCGTGACCCCACCTGCTTTTCCCACCTGGAGACGCAGAGTGAGTCACCCCTTCTTAATAGGCAGTGCTCTTCCCGGTATCTGAAAGTCATCCTAGACTTGCAAACACTGACATGTTCAGCTCCCACCAAGCGTGTGGTCAGTGGACATTGTCTGGTCTTTGTCTCAAGCTCTTGAAACCTACGTACAGCACTCTGGAGAGGCTCTGGAGCCACACAGTCTGGGTCCAAAAAAGGTTCCTCTTGAGCAAGTGCCTATCCTCTCTGAGCCTCAGCTGTCCCTGTGGGAAATGGAGATGATAATGGTGCTCCCCTTGAAGGGTAGATGAAGATGGCGACAATATGTACAAGAAGCTTAGAGAACTCCATGTTGCACATGTCCAACAAATGTTAAGGCATTGGTGTGGGGCGTGCGTGTGTGAGAGAGAGATCCATCATTGTCATCATCATCATTGCTGGGAGGACTCAGCCATCAGATCTGGCCTTCAGAGTGCTCCTGGGGGCGCTCCTCATTCTTTGTGTTGGCTCTCACTCTCAGCTTCTTGTCACAGTTTTCATCAAAACCCCTTCTCTTCACATAAGTCACTGTTAAAATAAATGTGAAGGTCTTTAAGAGGCTGCGGAAGCCTGTATGTCAGAGGCATCGAGGGCACTCTTTGGGGAGCAGTTGTTAGTTCTCCCAGCTCTACCCCCAGCCCCTGCCAATTCTCCCTCTTCTCTACTGAGGGATGGCCTGTCTGAGGCTTTGCTGCGAGCACAAGGCAGCAGGTCTGTGGCATCGCCGTGTCTGTAAGTCTCGCTTTTTATATTTTTAATTTTTGCTTATGTTTTGTTTTGTTTTTTGTGATTCTTCTAATCTTGTTCTGAATAGGAGATGAAGTTACAGGAACATTTTTTTAAATATATTTTATTAATTTTAGAGAGGGAGAGATAGAAATATCAATTATGAGAATCATTGATTAGCTGCCTCCTGCACGGCCCCTATTGGGGATCGAACCCAGGACCCTTCAGTCCTCAGGCCAACAATCTATCCATTGAGCCAAACCAGCTAGGGCATTACAGGGACATATTTTTTGTTGTTTTTCTGGAGCACTTGCTACCATCCTGTTCTGTGGTGTGGTGGACAAGAAGGCAGATGTAGGGCCATGTGTCCTGAATTCAAGTCTCAGCTCTACCTACCTGTGACTTTGGAAAGCTGTAAAGCCTCTGTGGGAATGGACTAATGGTACCAATTATGTTGTGAGATTGTGGGGAAATTGAATGACTTAAAACAGATAGCTTTCTTGGTATGCAATAAGTATAACAGAAAGGTTAGCATCAGTAGTAGTTTGAGTGCCACCTTAACAATTATTGCCAGGATTAGAGTATACTTATTTTGCTGTAGTATTATTTTTCTTTAAATTGACTCACCTATTTTTTGTTGTTGTTTAATAAATTTCCTTTGAAAGATACATATTTTTTAAAAAATTTTAATTTAAGTAAAGTTGGTAAACATCCTTATGTTGGTTATATTAGTTTCAGGTGTACAATATAGTCATTTGACATTTTTATACCTTACAACATGATCACCCCTAGTTCTAGTATCATATGTCACCATCTGTCTTATCACAATATGTATCAACTGTATTCCCCTTCCCCAAAAAGATACATCTTAAATGGAAGTTCAGTATCACCTGCCATAAGTAGAACTTAAGTGTAAAAATACGAAGATCGCAAAAACAACACTATTAAATTTTAAATAAATACTCTTGCCTTCCAGGCTCTAAACCTGAGGCTTGCTTGCTTCCTCGGGCACCCGCATCTCCCCCTCCTTCCCTCTTAAAAAGAGAGTTCAAGTATCAGGGAGGTAATGTGAAAGCTCTTCTGGACCCAAATTGAGACTCTCCATGGCACCCACGAGCAAAACCCATCCCACCATGTGGTTCTGTGCTGTTGAATACAGACCTGGTCTCCTCTGAATTGACCTGCAGGCATCCCATACTTTGCAGGCCCTGATCTGGGGCCACTCTGGTATTTACAGATGACAGACGTCAAGTTCATTACCTTGTCCTTTCCAAAATCTACCAGTCCCCCCATTCGCCGGACTATTCTGTTACTTCTGGGTGCCTAGATGCTCCAGGTTTTCTCAGGAACTGTCCGTGGAGGCTCCGCTCTTGGGTCTCATGATGCAGTTCCTCAGAGCCAACCCCTGAGCCCATGCAGGGTGCTGGGCGCCGTCCGTGTGCCTGTGGTGGCCCTCTCTTTCCCCTGTAATGTTGGCCTCCCCTTCCCGGCTGTAAGGCCATTCTTCTGTGCAGAGAAAAGAGCTCGGGCCAGCATGGCTGGTGACAGATGATCTGCCCTGATAGCACTCCCTTCTCTCCCTTGTTCTGCTTGTTCCAACTGCAAAGTCGGAAAAGATCCTTTCTCCCATCCCAGAGCCTCGCTTCCTCTGGCTGCGGGCAGGTGCTGGCCCTCCTGCTCCGTCCTGATTCCATCCCCCTCCTCTCCATTGTTGGTGACCAGCCGGGTTTCTTTGTTTCCCAGTCCATTCTTCCTAACGGAACCCATTCCGGCCCGTTCCTGCGTGAGAGATTCCCATCTCCCCTGAGTCACAACGTTCCCTTCACAGTCTCAGGCCCTGGGAACTCACCCCTCTTGTTTATCGATTGTTAGAAACCTGTTGTTCTAAAAGCCAGGCTGCGTGTCTCCTCCCTCTCCCGTTACAAGCTCTCGGGTGATGGGAGCCCTTCATCCTGGGGACCCTCATCGCGTCCTCACCACCACCCAGCAGCCGGTTCTTCCTGGAGTCAGGAGTCAGTCACTACAGGGGAAGTGACACTTCCAGCATGGCCTGTGTTTTCTCCAGGTTATGCACTTAGTAGAGGGGACTCCCCGCAGGCCTGTGCAGCCCTCAGGTCTGCCAGTGCAGAGGGCTCCCCTGAGGCCCTGCTTCACCCCATGGTCTGGGAAACGCTTCCCTGCAGGATCTCTGAGTTCCCCCTTTTTCTTTCCTGCCCCAAATGTTTCTCTTTGTGTGCTCCCCTCGGGTTCATGCTTTCCTCATAAAGGAAATAGAGCCCTAGAGGTACAGCTTTTCAATGGAAAAGTCATTTCTCTCTTCTTCCATCAAGGATATTTCTTTGGTGGGGGTGATTTTTTTACATCTGTGTATGCCCCATTATATGTGTCATCTGACACCAGTTGATTCCCTCTCTGGGCTTCAGTTTATTCATATGCAAAATAGAGCCAATGATAGGATTGTTTTGAGACCAAGGCAAAATAATGCCCATAAAAAGCACCATTTTTTGCCCTGGCTGGTTTGATCAGTGGATAGAGTGTCAGCCTGCGGACTGAAGAGTCCTGGGTTCCATTCCAGTCAAGGGTCCGTGCCCAGGATTTTTTTTTTTTAAGAGGCACCATTAGTGCTTACGTACTCTGTCCAAACACTGGGAGCGTGAGCGTCACCCCTCCTCCCGGCAGCAGCATTCATGATGAAACTGCAGCTGGACGAAGCGGAGTAACTTGGTCATGATCACACAGGTGGTTAGTGGGACTCACTGACCAGGATTGAAACTTGAGATTTCCACAAACCTCTCACTCTTCCCACTTCACCCCCAGGGCTTTCAGATCTAAATCAGATCAAGGGGTAAAGAGAGAGGCCAGTCCAGGGCAGATTCACTGGGAGTCTCTAGAGATAGGGATGTTTGTGGCTCTGCTCTGCCTTGCACGGGCTGATCAGTTCAGAAGCTATCTTCCCACCAGGCCTGTGGGCAGAGCTCCACACCCCCTCGCAGAAGAGGAGGAGGTGTAGGCTGGTGGGTGTCGGCTCCGCCACGGGTTCTACAGACAGCAGCCCCTTCCTGTCTAAGGAAAGTCGGGCAGTGGCTGTTAGCCAGATACCCAGGCTTAAGGTTTACAAGTAATTCTCAGCTCTAACTTCCCAGAAGCATGCTTTAATTTCAAAGCATTAAGTTCAAACTGTGGCATTCGAAAACAAGAATAGAAGAGCTGTTTCCAGACAAATTATGTGAATCCCTTGGCATGCCCTCTTTCAGCTGCAAACAGATGTAATTTTTACATTTGATGCAACTGTACGCTTGGAGGAAAAACATTTTTGAGTGAATCAGAATTTGACTGACAGAACTATGATGAGAGGGACAGCTTGGCCGTGAGTTTTGCTTTGAAGCCAGGGCAGGAGTATGATATCTATGGGACAAGCTTCAGGGTTTGGAGCGGGAAATAAAAATGGGGAGGGTCGCCCTAAACGGTTTGGCTCAGTGGATAGAGCATCGGCCTGCGGACTGAAAGGTCCCAGGTTCAATTCCGGTCAAGGGCATGTACCTTGGTTGCGGGCACATCAGTAGGAGG